GGGGACACCTCACAGCCCTGTGGGGGACACCTCACAGCCCTGTGGGGGACACCTCACAGCCCTGTGGGGGACACCTCACAGCCCTGTGGGGGACACCTCACAGCCCTGTGGGGGACACCCCACAGCCCTGTGGGGGACACCCCAGAGCTGCCGTCACCCGTCGGACACTTGCTAAAAAACTCCAAAGAGTTTTAGCAAAGACCTGAAGAGAAAGACTGTGATCAGGAACCCGACCAAAATGTCACCCCCCCCCAATCATGTCACCATGATTCTCCCAAAGGGAAGAAGAAGCCTCAGGGGAGGGGGGGGGGCTTTCCTGACATTTCCAAGCCCCCGTGGAGTGGATTAATGATTGGTTCATTTCAGGGGTTAAGATCGGAGTGAAGGTAGGTTTGAAAACGGGGAAAAAAAGAGACTCCCCCAGGCTCCCGGAGAAAAAGAGCTAGAGAGAGACCTGTCGTACGGTGCGGGGGGCACTGGGGGGGTTGGTGGCAGATGACGGTGTAGTGGTAGTGACAGAAGGGACGAGTACGGGGCGAGGAAGGAGCTGAGGTTTGGTCTTCTGCTGCGTGGATACCTTTGGACCTGAAGCTCTGGTGGTGGGGAGAGAGGACGACCTCTTCAACCCCCCCCCATCTAAGGTTTTCACACTCTCTGTCTTAGCCTCCTTCACGGGGAGCGGCTCCTCAGGGGACCGCGGTCCCATCTCATTGATGGTGGTCTCTAGCTGTTTGATGGTCTGCTCCAGACTGTCCAAGGTCTTGTAGGTGTTCTTACGGATCTCGTCCGTTCGGTACTGGAACTCCTGCTTCTTCAGCGGGACCGGACCTGAGACCTTGGTGCTGTCCCCAAAGGACTTGGATCGTGAAATCTCAAATCTCTTTGCTTCCTTGTGCTGTCGGACCGTACCGTCGGACTCCTCCTCGTCCTCATACACCACCACCTGGAGGGTCTTCTTGCCGGACTTGGTGCCGGTCCGGATGGCCTGGGTCAGCGCGGCCAGCTGTTTCTTGGGGAACTTGAACTTGAATTTCTTCTTGCTCTCCAGTCTGGAGTCCTCGCTGGGCTCCAGGTTAATGCCACTGTCGGTGAGCTCAGACATGGACGATGAAGACGAGGAGGACAAGCTGACGTGGTCGGAGTTTCCTTGTGGAGAGCCGGCCTTTTTGTCTTCAGCCGTTGCGGCCCCCCCTCTTTTTACCTGCGACACGTGGCCGGGGTCCGTGTCCGACTCCTCACTCTCCTCCTCGATGCGCTCCTCCGACAGCATCCTGTCCAGCTCCTCCTCACACTCAAATATGGTGGACAGACGTTTGTAGGCCGAGCGGATGTCCATGGGCTCGTCGAAGATGATGATGACGGGCTTTTTGCTGAAGCGGTTATCCTGCGGAGCAGGTGAACCCTCGGCGGTCTCCGCTCGGTTTGCAGCACTCCCTACTGTCACTGTCTGGACGCTCCCTTTCTTAGCGTTGACCAGTTCTTGGTACTCGCCACAGGACAGGGCCTGCACCTTGGTGTTAGTGATCATAAAAGCTATGTTGTCGGGAGGGGGAGGGGCTTCTTCTCCTGGTAGGTCAGGACTAAGACCCGCCCCCTCATCGTCTTCAAAGTGACTGGGTTCTGGGTTGTTGTTGTCGGCGCGGGGCGTCAGAGGGTCGGACACAGACGCCAGGGTCGTCTGTTTGACAGCGACGGCGGTGGTTTTCTCTGGAGCCTCGGGGATGATGTTCTTGTTGGAGGAACCCGGTTCCTTGATGGTCCAACTCTTCTTCTCAGTGTTGACTTTGTTCATCATCTTCTTCTTCTCCATTTCTACCCTGGTCTTGAAGGAGTCGGAGCGTTTCACCTGCTTCTTGACCAGTTTGAATCCGTTCAGTCCCACGGGTTTGGGTGAGATGGGTGGAGGCGTGAGAGCTGGGGGAGATTTGGGAGGTGGAGACTGTGGTTCCTGCAGCTCCTGTTCCTGGTCTGGAGAATTGTCATTAACATTGACATTTGACACCTGTGTTGGAGGCAGCGCGGGGGTCTCCTCGCTCCCTGCCGGGGCGGGCTGGTCTTTGGAGATCTGGCCGGTCACGTAGTAAATGACCTGTGATCGGGGAATGGAGCCAGGTTATTATCATTACTAGTACTTCCTCCACGTCAACTTGAACAACCTGCATCAGAAACATGGAAGGTCAAAGTAACAGCCTGAGAAACAGTTCGTACCGCTTGGCTCTGTCGCAGCGTGGTGTTTCCGTTCTCGTCAGTGTCGGCGTCTTTTTCTTCTCTGGTCTCTGAGCTCTGCTGCGACAGTGTGTGAGGGAATAATGTCACAGTGATACTGCAGTACAGCGTGGTTCACAGTACTTCTCAGGACTTTCTAAAGTCCAGTTACTGCTGTAACATGTTTTCACCTGGAGGTGGCAGAGTTTCTCCATCAAGGTTGTTAAAAACCTGATTTCACCTAATCAGCTGATTCTTAGGGTCTAAGAAAATATCGATACATGGAAGTATCACAATATATCGTATCGTTAGCCCTGTATCGTGACACGTATCGTATCCACAGAATTCTTCCTCTCAATTAAAAGATTCTAATTCTGGATTTGATCTATTTTCTATTCTATTATTTCTATATCTATTTTATCTAAATGATCCGTCTTTTTCTAGAACTTCTGCATCTGTGCCAAAAGCACCTCCCTTTAAAAAAGAAGTGATTCATAGCTACAGTTTCACCAGTAGGGTGTGCTGTAGATCCTCCCTACAACCCTCCGTGGTTCCTCCAGGTCTGGGTCCAGGACCAGAGGACCAGGAGGAGGTCTGAGGGAACTGTGGTACGGTGGTGAAGGGGACTGGGACCAGGAAAAGACCAGGAGACACAGAACTGTTCAGTGAAGGAGGAAGAGCATGCAAAGAGGCCACAGCGCCCTCTACAGACCCAAGTCTGCAAAAACATCCCGTGTCCAAACAGTTCCTGTCGTTTCCCTCGACGTGAAGTTAAAGAAAGACAGAAGACGAGAGAAGATCACTGAGAGACAGAGGACAGGCTTTTATTGATCTGGAGAAAGAAACACTGACATCAAACACACACACACACACACACACACGCACACACACACACAGAAGACGCAGCGTCTTTTCAGAGGCTCCAGACTCGACGCAGACTTCATCCGAAAAATAGAAACCGTGTGAATTTCAGCAGAACCAGAGAAAAGAAGGACTGAGAGGCAGTGAAGACTGGGGGGTCGGAGGGGGGGGTCAGAGGTCAGAGGTCAGGGTGTGTGAAGTCACTGTTACAGCTTTCTCTGTAGTCAGAGCTCAGGTGCAGCAGAAGGTTAGAAAAAACCACAGCCACGGGTGTTAGACAGTGGACGGGGGAGACGGGGGAGACGGGGGAGGCAGTTAGCAGGGCAGCTGCACGGGCAATTAGAATGTACCTTTTTCTGTTTAGGGGGCAACAAAGGCCCCGGTCTTAGTTCTCTGATCTGGGGTTCAACTGGAGTAGTGGTCTCTACCCCCCCGTCCTTAACTGTGCACTTCTGGAAAACCTGAAGAGTGAAGAGAAGTGGGGGGGGGGGAGGAGGAGGAGGGGGGCTGGGATGATCCCATCTACCAGTGGTCAGAGATTCAGACCCCGCTGGACAACAAACTATTAGGAACCCCCTCCCAAAAAGTCCCTCCAGCTGAGTGTGTGTGTGTGTGTGTGTGTGTGTGTGTGTGTGTGTGTGTGTGCGCTCACCTGCAGCTCAGCCATCATCTTGTCTCCTTCGTCCTCCTCCTCTCTGGTCGCAGGAGCAACAGGGGGAGGAGTAGTGGGCTTTGGCCGGGTCTCTGGTGGGACCTTACCAGGTCTGGGCTGTGGAGTGGGAGGTGCCACCTCTTCTTCCTCCTCCTCTTCCTCCTCCACCTCCACCTCCAGCAACGAGTCCTTCAACATCAGACACTGCTTCAAACTGAAGACGCCAACGTCGAGGGAGACGCCGCGAGGACTCACCTGAGCTGAGCTGGACTCCTTCCTGCTGGTGTAGACCACCGCCCCAGAGCGGGTGGTGGTCATGCCTGAGTTGGAGCTGGGGTAGGTCTTCCTCGGGGGAGGCGGGGGGGGAGACCTGCTGGACTTTTCACTGAAGTGTTTGGTGAAAACGTCAGGAGACGGAGGTTTGGAGGCAGGTTTCAAGGGTTTCTCTACCGCCGGCTTGGGGGGCTTCTCTGGGAGCTTTTTGACCGGTTTGGAGTCAGGGTCTTCAGACGGAGGGTCTACTGTCACACACACACACACACACACACTCCTGTTACAGTGGGGTCAGAAAGATAGAACCATGTGTGTGTGTGTGTGTGTGTTCTATTTGTACCTGAAGGTGATTCTACAGGACTGTGGTTGTTGGTTCCATCTCCACTGACAGCAGGGGGCGCTGCAGTGTTCTCTACAATCTCCAGGTTAGGAATCCCCTTCATCATGTTGACCTGCGCCTCCTGAAGGATCTTCTCAAACTCCTTCCCGTTGTAGAAGCCCAGGTTCTGTCTCTTCTCCTCCCACTCCTTCTCTGCTGCCTACGGGTCAGAACAGAGAGGGGTTTTTTTTCTGCTGACTCAGCAGGTACCTCTGTGATCATGTGACCTGATCATGTGACCAGCACAGTCACCTCGATGGACAGAGCTCGGCTCTTGCTCTTGTCTGGATGACTCTGCAGCTCCTCCATGACCAGGACCTGGGTTCCGTTGTTCTTCAGGATCCCGTGCGTCTTCTTCTGATGGACTGGACTCGGTGGATCCAAGGACACGCCCTTGGCCGACTCCCTGTCCTGACCCTTGACTGGGTTTGGACCCGACCCCTGGGTGGGGCTGGGGGTGAGCGGGGGACTGGGCTGAGACGTCAAGGCGGCCGACTGCTGGGACTGCTGCAGGTTGACGGGGGAACTGCGGACCTGATGGATGACCACGGGAGACGACGGCATGACCTCTGACCTGACGGTGGAGTTCTGGTGGTCCAGTGGAGCTGGAGGGGAAGGTTCTGACCCCACAAGTGGTGGGCTGTTGTCCACGGGGGGGTCTGAACCCCTCTGAGAACCCTGAGTGGAAAGTCTGAAGGGGGGGGGGGTTTGGAATGTGACAGATTAAAATGTTAATGAGCTGCACCAGTGAAGGTAACACACACACACACACACGGCCGTCTGAGACACAGTTTGAGGTGTGAGGTTTATAAAGACCACCTCCTCAGACTGCCCAGGGTCTCCGTCAGGGTCCTGACTCTCTTCAACATGCTGTCCAGTTTATGAGGCTCCTCCTTCAGGAACTTCACGGCCTCCACCTCCACCCTCAGAACTGCCCTCATCCTGGTCTGCAGGGCTGGGAACTCCCCTGATGGAACACACACACACCCACCCCCCCGGTGAGTGGACCCCCCCCCCCAAACCCCCCCCCCCCGCAGAGTTCCTTGAGTCAGACTGAGTCCAGGGTTCAAACCCACCTTTGAGTCCTGCCAGAGACTCTCCCACTTTCCTCAGAGTCAGCGCTCCGTCCTCCACGTCCTTCAGAGTCACCGTCCTCTGTGTGGACGTGGCGTCTCTCTGCAGGGAGCTGACGTACTGCTCTAGGTCGCTGCACAAACAAGAAAACATCAAAGCCTGATCAAAGTCCAGTTTTCATTCACGCTTTGATTCATTTCATTTTTTGATGTCGGAAAAATTAATACATGTAGAGTATGTGCGTTTAACGACCAGCAGGGGGCAGAGCGATATCATTTATCTGAACTGTGACTGTCCGAGGTCAGAACTATTTTATAAAGACTGGATTCATGTGAAAGTCAACTTCCCATAATGCACTGCACCCTCCTGAGTTGGCCAGACCACCAGGACTACCCTGGACCTGGAGCACCTGTCCAAAAAGCCCCCCCTAGGGGCAGATGTGCTGAATGACAACACTGTGTGCAGTGAGACAGGTACCCCGGAGAAACTGCCCCATTATAGGAGGGGGGGCGGGGCAGGAGGGCAGGAGGGCCACTGAGGGGTAAATACTCAGCTGTGGTGACGGGAATGATGGGAAATTACAGCTGGCTGTGACTGACCTCTGTCCTGGGACAAATAATAACTCCACCTCCACCCTGACCACTGACCACTGACCAGATGACCACTGACCAGAACCAGAAAGTGTGTTCACCTCAGCTGCTCCAGGACCCGCTCCTCCAGTCCCAGGTACTTGTGTCTGTCCTCCTCCACCAGCGTCCTCTGCCTCTGGACCGGGTCGTCCTGACGCCTCATGGCCTCGCTGAGTTTAACACTGATTTCCTGCTCCGCTCGCTTCAGCTGGGCCCGCAGAGCTTCCTGGTTCTGGAGCTACAGGGTCAGAACACACAAACAAACGTCATCCACACACACACACACGTACACAGAGAGGGTGGTTGGCAGGACCGGGCCCTGATTGGTGGAGTGACGCTCTCACCTGCAGCTGTCTCATCTGGTGCAGCTGCAGCCTGAGGTCAGAGACGTTCTTCCTGAAGTGCAGGAGGTTGACCTTGACAGGAAGTGAACCCGTCTCTGATTGGACCGCGTTGGTTTTAGGAGCCATGACCGGAGATCCACCTGGACCAGGAGTAGAACGAGAAGGGTCAGAGGTCAGAGGTCAGAGGTCAATGTTACCGTTGTTCCACCACTGGGTCCAGTGTTATAACTGATTCTTATCCTCCCTCACCCCTCCTCCCTCCCTCCCCCGTCACAGACTCACCCTCTGCTGTGACACTAATTCAACAAACTCTTTCTCTTCCTGATCCACCTGATCCACCTGTGACACCTGTGACACCTGTGACAGGTGTGACACCTGTCACAGGTGGATCAGCTGCTCAGACCTGAACCACTGGTTCCAGTAGAAACTGCTGCTTCTGTTCAGACCTTTTAAAGTTCTGTGCTGAAAACCTCTTTAGAACCCTCTGCTCTGTTCTGGTACTGAAGTTTTCAGTCTTTGTTTTCTTTCCTAATCAAACCTAAATGACCCCCACAGACCACCACAGACCCCCACAGACCACCACAGACCCCCACAGACCCCCACAGACCCCCACAGACTGGATCAGTGAACCGTCTTGGCAGCGTCTGCTTTTATCTCAGTTCTCCAGGCTTCTATTAAAGAAGAGCGCCACCTGGTGAAAAGGTCAAGGAGGCCGTGACCGTGGACGGTTGGTCCCCCCAGGACCAGGGTCTGGTCTCAGGACAGATGAAGGACTGACCTGAGCTGTGAGACGGAGACGATGTCTTCAGGGGTCTCTCACTGCAGGAGGAGAAAAAACATCATCAGATCAAACAGGGACACGATGATGAACTATGAAGAACACAGACCCCCCCAGACCCAGACCCCCCCCACCCTCCAGACCCCCACACTCCCCTTGACTCAGAAGGAAGTCCACGGCCCAGGTTTTGACTTCATTTGAAGTGAGTGAGTCTGAAGATCTAGGATTTCTAATTTCAAATGTTGTTGTTTGTAAGAAGAAAACGGACTCTAATCCACGACGTTCCTTCTGTTCCAGGTGGTTTTATGGTTTTATTTCAGGTTAGTAGACGGAGGGACGTGTCAGCAAAGAATGATGGG